CCGGGCGATATCACTCCTGCAAAACGACCAGTCCCGTGCCAGCGCGTGGTCCGGCATATCAAAAATACGAGCCCTGCAAGGAAATATCGCAGAGTCGCTGGATGCCGCCCGTACCGCGCATCAACTCGACCCGAGTAAAAAAACATTACGCGATAATATTCGCATGATGGAAAACATCACCGATATCCCCTAGGGGTCGAGATTCATTTATTTCTGAGCCCTGAGGAACGTGGCGATCATGCGAGTGTTGGGAATAGAGTCTACGTGCGATGAAACGGGTCTCGCACTCGTCGAAGACGGTGTTTGTGTCCTCGAAGAAGTTCTTCGTTCTCAGGTGGAAGATCACGCGCCGTGGCACGGCGTAGTACCGGAGCTTGCGGCCCGAAGCCATTTTGAACATATTCAGACTTTATATATGAGCATGATATCCGGTACGTCGAACGCTTACGACGCTATCGCCGTAAGCGTTCGACCCGGGTTACTCGGTTCTCTTTTGGTGGGACGGACATTTGCCGAGACGCTGGGAGTGATTACGGGGCGTCCGGTATGCGGGGTGGACCACCTGGAAGCACATTTGTACAGTGTGCAGATGGAACATACCGTGCCATATCCATACCTTGGCTTACTCGTGTCGGGAGGGCATACGCTGATCGCGCGCTGTCTGAGCCCAACGTCGTACGAGTATTTGGGCACGACTTTAGATGATTCGGTCGGCGAAGCTTTTGACAAAGTAGCGAAGATGCTGGGCATGCCATATCCAGGTGGACCGCATATCGAAAACCAGGCCCGTGATGGAGACCGTACCCGGTTTGCGTTCCCAAGAACAGCGCTATCCGCAAAGGATCCACAGCGAGCGACGTGCTTTAGCTTTAGCGGGCTGAAAACGGCCGTGTATTACCTATTGAAGTCGCATGCCGATGCGGACCCGGGTTTCATACGCGATGTATGCGCGTCTTTCCAAGAAGCCGCGCTGGAGAGCCTCATGACCCCGCTTGCGCATTGCGTAAGCCAAACCGGAATTAGGCGAGTCGTTATATGCGGGGGGGTGGCCGCAAATTCTCGATTACGAGAAATTCTATCGCAGTTGGATGTGGATTGCTACGCGCCTTCTCCGTCCCGATGCTCCGACCAAGGCATCATGATCGCCGGACAGGGGTATCACGTCTTACAAAGAATGCTGGAAAACCGCGAGAAAGACATCACGGTTTCTCCTACGTCGCGAATAGAACTTGCCAAGCCCTAGGGGCTGCATTCATTAAACCCAAGATATGCTTTTCTTGGGGGCAGAGCCCCCGTACCCCCCGCTGGGTGCGGGTCTTGCCAGACAGGCGTAAGAGGCGGTTCGAGAATCCGACCTAGGGGCTGCATTCATTAATCTGGAGCTAGGTTTTTTAGGGCTCTGCCCCCGTACCCCCCGCTGGGTGCGGGTCTTGCCAGACAGGCGTAAGAGGCGGTTCGAGAATCCGACCTAAAGCCCGTACGGCAGTACCCCCCCTAAAACCCTCAAAGAGGGATTTTAAGATTGCTTGGGCAAGCCCCTGTTTTTAGGTATAGCACATATCAAAACCGTAAAAACCATTCTATGCCCGCCCCCCCTAAGCCGGCAGTGCCTCCGAGAGGGGAGTCTGAGGGGAGACGCGGAGCGGCGTCTCCCCTCAGAAAAAGAACGCCGTGACCCAGGATCCTGTTTTATGGTAACGGAGGAAGCACATAAGCGTTGGAATATTTAATGTATATTACATTTCGAAATATAGGAGGGTTTTATAGGTGTCTACAAAATGGTTATTCGGTTTTTTGGGTTTAATAGGCTTGTTATGGTGCGCGTCCCCGGATGGAGATATTGCCTGGGGCCAAGTCCCAGAAGCGGCTAAGCACGTTTTCAACGGTCATCTCAGCATGGAGGGCATAGCCGGGATCAGTGACTATCAACGCATGTCGATTGTCCGATTGCAGGTTATCGGGGGCGGCGGCGAGGATGGGAGCATGTGCACCGGAACACTCATAGAGCCTAACTTTATCCTTACAGCTAATCACTGTCTTGCTAAAAAGGGACTCTGGAATCCCCCGTCTTTCGGTGACCTGTACACGAAGATCACGTTCCCAACGGTAGGCAATGGGGGTAACGAATTCCGATATGTTGCGGTATACGCTGACGAACGCCCCAACCGCGACGTTCAAACCGCGTTTAAAAGCAAGTCCTTATACCGGTTTTCCCGCCCGGAGGATTCTGACACTCGGTTCCTTTACGATCTCGCTATCCTAGAGCTGAAGCCGTCGGATCAAGACGGGTACAATAGTGGGTGCTTAGACGGTAGTATGTGCCACAGGGTGAAGAACTACCTGAAGACCGCTGTTCCCCTAAAGCTCAACACGGTAGATCTGCCAAAGCAATTAATAGGGCAGGATGCTATAGCAGCAGGATATGGGCCTAGCGGACTTCCTCCCGTGACATGGGCTCTACATCGGGTCACTACCGGTGTACATCCAATACTCAAATTATTAGGTATGTATAGGACGAGGTCTAGGGCGCATGGTTTTAGGGCTGATAGCCATGATGTGGGGTTGTCCCCATATGTGTTAACCCGAGTCACGGGCGGTGATTCGGGTGGTCCCCTTTACACGGTGTCCGATGGCAAGATTATAGGTGTCGTGCAAGGGAGCTCGCCTTGGAACCTGTTAGGACCGAGAGGGACGGGCAATATCCTGAAATATTATGAAGAGAGCTCCGGAGGGGAGTTCACATCGGTTTCCACCGAGCTGGGGCGCCGCTTTGTCCGGTCGGTAACCGTGGCGTATTGCCGTGGAGGTCGCTATCGTACGGCGAGCGATCGTGATCTACAAAAATACTTGGCTAATATGTCCCCGGCTTACACCACCCCCGGTGATGCCGGCTCCACGCTTCTCCGCGGGGGGATGACGCATGCCATCGTGCATGACAGAACTCCCGATTCCATGTATATCCGTATGCTCGTCTGTGCTGGGGCGGATAAGGCCGTATTGGCGGGGCGGGACTTGATGCGAGAACCGGGTCCGATTACGATTACAACGCTACGCCAATTGCAGGAGATTGGGAGCCGCCCGCTTTCAAGGCAGGGGCATTATCAGCTCGGTAACGATATCGATGCCACGGTCACCGGTACATGGAACGCGTTTCCTGATAGCGATGGTACCACGCGATACCAAGGTTTTGTACCCATAGGCGCACCATCTGATCCGTTCACAGGCGTGTTCGATGGTAACGGCAAAACGATCATCGGTCTGCACATTCATCGTCCCACGGAGAATTACACCGGCCTGTTCCGTATGGTTGGACGGAGTGGTGTGGTACGAGGCCTCAGTATTGGTAATGCCACGATAGTGGGGCAAAATTACGTTGGTAGTCTTATCGGGCGCAACGGTGGAGGCACTATTTCGCATAACCGTGTCGTCGGCACCGAGGTCCAGGGCCGCTATGCGGTCGGCGCCCTTGCTGGCTGGAACGAGGGAGGCACTATGTTGCATAATCGCGCGGTCAACACCGAGGTCCAGGGCCACTATGCGGCTGGTGGTCTCATCGGCAGACATGAAGACGGCACCGTGTACGATAGCCATGTCGCTGCCGGTACGATTCGTAGTCTACACAATGCGGGTAGTCTTATCGGGCACAGTAAGGGTGGCATTGTGTTGCATAGTCTGATTACCACCGACACCGAGGTTTTGGGACCTCATTCCGTGAATGTTCCTGCCGTGCCCGCTATCGGTAACCTCGTTGGGTCTTTAGAGGGGGGCATTTTCACCGGCGACCCTTGTGAAGTGCTCCCCTTCGAAATCCAGCCATGCGCGGAAGCCCATGACTCTAGGGTCAGCATTTATTAAACCGGCGGATATGCTTTTCTGGGGGCTCTGCCCCCATACCCCTGCTGGGTGCGGGTCTTGCCAGACAGGCGTAAGAGGCGGTTCGAGAATCCGACCTAAAGCCCGTACGGCAGTACCCCCCTAAGCCGGCAGTGCCTCCGAGAGGGGAGTCTGAGGGGAGACGCGGGCTTAGGGTCTGTGTTCATTAAATGCACCCGCTTTTATCTGAGGGCTCTACCCTCAGGCTCCCGCCAAGGGGGCTCCGCACCCCCTTGGATCCCCTGCGGCACTGCCGTGCGGCATAACATGCGTTTTATAATTTTGGCATGTGCTATATCCAAAAGCAAAGAGCTTTGTCAAGCATGCGCGCGCCCCTCGTTGAGGGCTTGGAGGGGTCTGGGGAACCCAAGTAGGGTCCCCAGAAGGGGTTTGGGGGCAGAGCCCCCAAGAAATCATCTGCCAGATTAATGAACACAGACCCTAGGGATGGGCATTTTCACCGGCGCCCCTTGCGAAGAGGAAACGAATGGGCGCCCCGTCTTATGAATTGGAGTATGCGGCGCAGAAGTCGTGTACCATCTTCGCGGCGGCGGCGGTCATGCCGGGTATGGCGGCTAGGTTTTCTATAGGTTGAGCGGACATCTCCTCGATAGAAGAGAAATGCTCGTATAAGCGTTTTCGGCGGACCGGTCCGATGCCTTTTATGTTTTCCAGCACGCTTTTGAGCCCTTCTTTATGCCGCATTCTGCGGTGCGTTTTGTTCCCAAATCGGTGGGCTTCGTCGCGCACATACTGCAAGAGCTTGAGTCCCGGATGTGTACGAGGACAGATGATGGGGTCGCTCTCTCCGGGACGATAGACGTATTCATGCTTTTTAGCGAGCGACACGAGTGGTATGTCCAGGTCAAACTGGGCCAGTACTTCTATAGCGACGCGTAATTGTCCTTTGCCGCCGTCGACTAAAATTAAATCTGGGCGGGGCGCGTCGGCATCATGGATCATACCGGTGCATCGCCGGGTGATGCCTTCTCGGAGCATCGCGTAGTCATCTGGGGTGTCTTGGGACCGTATGGCAAAGATGCGATACCCGGATGTTTTGGGTTGCCCGTTTCGGAAGGTGACCATAGCGGCGACGGCTTGTCGCCCTTGCGTATTGGCAATATCCCAGCCTTCGATAAGATGGGGTGGGGTCGTGAGCGCCAGCATGTCTTGCAACGCTTTCATGCGAAATTCAACGGGTGTCAATTGAATGGTGTGCTGGTAGGCCGCGTGGGCATTTTGATGCGCCAGCGCAACGAGGGCGTGTTTTCCGCCTTTTTGAGGGTATTGGATTTTGGGCTTTTTCCCAAACGCGGCTCGAATATGGGCCGCGATGTCGGCGAGATCTAGGGGGATGGGGACGAGTATGTGATTGGGCACGTGCGAGACGATACCCGGATATTGCAGTAAGAAGTCTTCTAGTAGGGTGTGAGTGCCTAAATGTCGTTCAAATGTATACTCTTGCTTTTGCCATAGCCTTCCTTCGCGGCACTGCAATACTACGATTACCAAAAGATTTTCGCCTTCATAAAACCCTAAAGCATCGGTATCCTCCGGTATATCGAATGGGACTTGGACTGTTTGGGCGTCTTGAAAAAGCGCAATAGACTGTATCCGATCCCGTATTTTGGCGGCTGCTTCGAAACGCATGTGCGCACTTTCGTGACGCATGTCACGTTCCATATTTTCGATCAGAGATTGGTACCGGCCGGTGAGCAACATGCGCGCTGGCGCGATGCAAGTCTTTTCATATTCGTCTTGCGCAATCTCACCAATACAGCATCCGCGACATGTGCCGATATGGTAGTTAAGACATGGACGTTCGTTGGGGTTGTGGCTGGGTAACTTCTTGTTGGAGGTCCTTATGGGAAAAAGTTGGTGGAGAAGGGCTATATTCTGGTCCAGAACTTTGGTATTCGCGTAGGGACCAAAGAACTCTCCTTTTCGGGGAGCCTGGGTTTTCCGCATTTTTAAGATGCGGGGATAGGGTTCGTCGGTAATGAGAATATAGGCATAGCTCTTCCCGTCTTTGAGAGTAATATTATATCGCGGTTGCATCCGCTGTATTAAGTCTCGTTCGAGGAGTAGGGCTTCGGCCTCGTTTCGCGTAACGATAAAGTCTACCCGGTCGATTTGCTCTACGAGAAGACGAGTTTTTAGGTCTGGGTGGCGTCCTCGAAAATACGAGGCCAGGCGTTTTTGTAAGCACAGGGCCTTCCCGATATATAACGTAGTGCCGTTTTTATCGAGCATACGATATACTCCCGGTTCCTCCGGGAAGCTGCGAATATTTACAGGTGCCATATAACCTCCCCGGCGCGCCTGTTCCTGGTGGTAAGGAGTGTATCCGGTGACAGAGTCGGAAATCCGTAAGATAACCTCCCTAATTGAGAAACTGGGCGAAGAAGGGTCCCCTCCGGAGGAGCTGCCCCGTTTACGAGTAGATTGGTACCTACAATCTCAGGGAGATGCCAGCCCGGAAAATAGCGAAAGTCCTACCGGTTCCGTCTCTTCCCCGCCTCCGCCAGAAACCTCCGCGTCGCTACCGGTTAGCGCCCCTGTTGAGGCCTCCTCCCCGGCGGGAAACTCCGCGTTGCCACCGGTTAGCGACCCTGCCGTCCCCTCGTCCCCGGCGGGAAACTCCGCGTCGCTACCGGTTAGCGCTCCTGTTGATGCCTCCTCCCCGGCGATGTCCGGGACGGGTGCGCCCGTTCGTGATGATGAAGACCTAGTCGTAAACGATATCCTGTCGGTCTTAGATACCCATATTGACTGGGCATCGGTACAGGATAGCGTACCACAAGCGTCAGAAATGATCCACGATAGCCGCTCCCCAAATGACGAGGACGAAACCAGTTTAGTACTAGACAGCATCCCGGAGAATACTATACGTCGTCCCTTTTTGGGGCGCGATCGTTCTGAGTACATGCTGGATAGCCGAGGGCGCGATGAGGACGTGCTCCGGAAAAAAGAACGCGTTCGCTCTTTAGAGGCTCTCTCCAAGGCGGTGGAGCACGTTTCCAGCACGCCTTTGGCGGTTGAGGATCTCCCGGCTCCCGAGATCGAAGCATTATCATCCCCGGCATCCCCGCCCCGTGTTATCGCCGAGGAGACGGCATCCGATATGGTGACCGCGGTTGTGGACCCTCCCGGCTCGGATGATGATCTCTTGCCCGATTATGCACCATCGGTGGGCGATGACGGTCTCTATCCAGAGCAAGAAAGTATCACGCCTGTTACGGAAAACATACCCGTAGCTCTTGCTGGGTCACCACCAGAAGGGGATGATGACGTCCGTGATCGTAATGCCGCGGACACTCTCATGGAGACGGATTCTCCGGAACCGACTGCTCCGTACTCCGATCCGGAAATTGACATTCTGTTTGGGCAACGCCATGAGGAATCTGTGTCCCCGGAGTCATCGTCTGCAGAGGACGTAGTCGCCGCCCCGGATGTATCTGGTCCTGTTGGGTCCCCGGAGTCATCGTCTGCAGAGGACGTAGTCGCCGCCTCCCCGGATGTATCTGGTCCTGTTGGGTCCCCGGAGTCATCGCCTGCAGAGGACGTAGCCGCTTCCCCGGATGTATCTGGTCCTGTCGGGTCCCCGGAGTCATCGCCTGCAGAGGACGTAGCCGCTTCCCCGGATGTATCTGGTCCTGTTGGGTCCCCGGTGTCATCGCCTGCAGAGGACGTAGTCGCCGCCGCCCCGGATGTATCTGGTCCTGTCGGGTCCCCGGTGTCATCGCCTGCAGAGGACGTAGTCGCCGCCCCGGATGTATCTGGTCCTGATGCGCCATTGATAGTGGCGGAGGAAACCAAGCGTGCGGGAGAGGCCCCCGCCCCGTATCGCACTTCTGATGCGCCATCTCCGGCGCGAAAAAGACGCGAAAGCGTGTTATTTGGTGTGTCTCCGCATAGCGATCATGGAGATGTGCCTGCGAGTGAAGATGACCTCTCATTCTATGTGTCTCAGCTTCCAGGTTCGCTTCAGAAAGACGTTGCGCGAGTATCTCCGGATACTCGCCAGCACATTTACAGCATCCTCGCACGTGACCTCGTCACGCCTACGGTGATTCACCGTATCCGCCGTATGGTTGCTTCGGATAGCGCCCTGGTGGATGATGCTATTCCCCCCCGCCGAGAGAAACGCCCGGGTGGGGTATCGCGCCGCCGGGCAGCGATGGCTACGGTCGTTGCTAGCTTTTTGGTGGTTATGGGCGTGGTCTGGGCCCTCATATCTTTTTTGCAGACATCCGAAGAGCGGATTCCCGATATCCCGCGTGTGGCGCACATGGTGGATGCCGCCGCCGCGGAGCCGCCGTCCGCGTTGGCCCGCAGTCTGATCACGGCGTATCATATCCCCGAACAACCGGTCGACCATGCGCAAGATGTGATCCTGTATTTGATGCTGCGAGGTCGAAGCGATGCCGCCTGGGAAGTCATTCAGGCACCCGAAATGACCCAGGTTATTTCTGACCGAGAGCGCGCAATCTGGGAAGGGCGCATCCTACGCTACCAGGCCCATGAGGCCCGCGAACAAGGAGAGTCCGCGGACGATCTATGGGAGCAAGTGCTCCAGAATATTATTACGCCGCGGATCCAGAAAGAAATAGACCAACAAAAACCACCCGTGCTGTCCGGCGGACTATGGGGGGCGGACGCCTCCGATTCACAATACGCCGTGTCCTGGCATGTTCACCGAGTGTATACGCGCATCTCCCGAGCGTACCAGCGGCGCGAGGATTGTGACGAAATAGGGCTCCGTCAGGACATACAAGGGATACGCCGGGACTTACAGTGGTTGCAACAAGAGGGCGAACACGCATTTGTAGCATACCAACGCCTGGTACTGGCCCTTCTAGATCCCTATCCATCCGAAACGTTCGTACAAAAGCAATACGAGGGTAGTGTCGCAGCCGATCCGGATCACAAACACCTCGATCCGCGCGCGTGGTCTTGGTACGCGCGATTCCTAAGTACCTTGCAAACCGATAGAAACCGCCGAGAAGATCCCGTGGCATTCCATGACCGTGCCGATCGCATCGCTGCCATTACCTATCAACTAGCCGCGCGATATCCCTATATGTCCCGCAGCCTAATGTCTGAGGTTCTGTACAACACCCGCCACCAAGCCGACGACGCCGCCGCACAACGGAAAACCCTCCAGCAAGCGCTGGTGCTGGATGTCCCGAATATGCACACGATATCGAAAAGCCGCCAGTATGCCCCCGATAACACGGATCTTCTGTACATGCTCAACCTCTCCAACACGGAACGGAGCGCCATATTCCGACGGATAGCACAGCTGTACGTACAAGATTTCCGAGAGACGGATCGCTACCTGGCCGGCCAGTTCGCCTTGGAACCACAGCCGATCCCTCAAAATTGGAGACAAGGCGATGTTGCGAATTTGCAAGAGCTCCAAAACAGCGCCTATAAGCACTTTACAGCCGCCATTCGCATGGCACCAGAAGATGCCCGAAACTATGTGCGTCTTGCTCAATTCGAGTACGAGCGCTTGTTCGACAAACGAGATGCGTACTCTCACGATGATTTCCTTAAGCAGTTTTTCCCGCGACCAGAAAAAGAAAAATCCCATCTTCACCATCTGCTTGATACCGCCCTGCGTCTTTCGCGCGATGCGCCGTCGATTCAGAAAGAAGAGCGCGATGCCCTCCAGTACCAGTATGCCCGATGGGCCTACGAGCGTATGAGAGCGTTGCCACGCCCATCCGGTGATGCCGTACCCGCCCAAGACACGTCGCGCTGGGGAGAGCAGGTAATGCGCGATGTGGTAGAGACGCTCGAAAAAAAATACCCCGAAACGCCTCACGTACATTTGCTGTCGGGCATGTGGCATACCCGTATCGCGGATAGGCATTACCGGCGATTTGTTGAAAACCCAACGGTAACCCGTCACCAAAAACAGGCCACCCAGTCCTATGAACACGCCGAAGAAGCCCTTACCCGTACGCTTGACCAATACGATGCGCGCATACACCGCACCGCACCGCACGTCATCCGTCACATACGGACGGCACAGACCACCTCTGCCGCGGATTCCATTAAGGACCTATACCACTACTATGCCGTAACCAGCAACAACCGAGGCGTAGTGCGATATATGCGCGGAGTGCTGCATCTCTACCGAGCGCATCAGCTTGCCAAGGCCGGCGTCCCCGATGCACAAGCGTACCATAACCAACTCGGGGCTCAATTCTTCCAAAACGCGGCAAGCGATTTCCATCAGGTGCCGGCCTCAGAAGGTGCTTTGGGAAAAGAAATACGCCAGAATGCGGATCGCGCGTCCAAAACCATCGCCTCCTCGTCAGAATATCTCCCCGCTATGACCCGCCGCGTATTTAACCGGAATGCCAAAGGACAACCAAAAGATGTGTGGGAAAGGCAACGGACGTTCTCCTACGTCGATGATATTCCCTATCAACTCTTTTAGGGTCTGTGTTCATTAATTTCTTTTTCTGAGGGGAGACGCCGCCCTAAGCCCGCGTCTCCCCTGTCGACTCCCCCTCTCGGAGGCCCTGCCGCCTTAGGGGGTGCGGGCATAGAGTCGATTTTATCATTCTGGCACGTTCTATGTCCAGAAAGAAAGATCTTGCCCAAGCAATCTTAAAATCCCTCTTTGAGGGTTTTAGGGGGGTACTGCCGTACGGGCTTTAGGTCGGATTCTCGAACCGCCTCTTACGCCTGTCTGGCAAGACCCGCACCCAGCGGGGGTATGGGGGCAGAGCCCTAAAAAAATCATCTGCCGGATTAATGAACGTTGGTGCTGGACGATTCGGTGATGGAGGGGACCGTGGCGAGTACATACTATGATGTGCTGGTATTGGGAGCTGGGATAGCCGGTTCGGCGGCGGCGCTCCATGCGGCGCGTACGGGCGCTCGGGTTCTTCTGGTGTGTAAAGGGCGCGAGCTTCTAGAGTCGAATACGTGGTATGCGCAGGGGGGAGTTGCGTATTCCACCGATGTGTCATCTTTGATGCCCGATGTATTGGCTGCCGGAGCCGGCGTGTGCCGTGCAGAGGCCGTCGAGGTGGTGTGCCGAGAGGGAGGTACGCGTCTCGGACAACTTTTCGGAGAGGATCCTCCAATCCCCTTCCAAAAAACGGGTGATGGTTCGTGGGACTTAGGACTCGAAGGTGGGCACTCGATTCGCCGCATTTTATACCATGGCGATACCACGGGAAATGCCATGCTGACGGCCTTTCATACCTGGATATCCCGGGAGCCCCGGATTGATGTCCAAACGGATACTATGGCCTTAGATCTGATAACCCGCCACCATAATACGGCCGACCCCCGTAATGTATACGAGCCGAATGCGGGACTGGGAGCCTATCTGTTCCGGTACTCCGATGGGACTATGGATACCGTGCGCGCGGCTTATACCGTGTTGGCAACCGGCGGGTGTGGGCAGATATACCAGTATACGTCGAACCCGCCCATTGCTACTGGTGACGGGCTGGCTATGGCAATACGCGCGGGCATCCCACTTATTAACATGGAGTATACCCAGTTTCATCCGACGGTTTTGCATCATCGTGATTACGGTGGCTTTCTGATCAGCGAAGCGGTCCGAGGAGAAGGCGCTGTGCTTCGCGATTACGATGGCCAGAAAATTATGACATCAAAAGTACATCCGCAACAGGACTTGGCGCCTCGCGACACGGTCACACGAGAGATACTGCGCAGTATGGCCCGCTGCGCCGCCCCATGCGTATTCCTAGACGCCTGTCATATGAGCTCTGAATTTTGGCAAAATCGTTTTCCTGCTATATATTCACTATTGAAAAAAGCGAATCTCGATCCATCTCATGAATGGATACCCGTGGTGCCGGCGTTTCATTTCCATTGTGGAGGCATCCCTGCCACCATGGACGGCGAAAGCCCGTTGCACAACGTGTATGCGATCGGAGAGGCCAGTTGCACCGGCATACATGGAGCGAACCGCTTAGCGGGTATGAGCCTTCTTGAGGGAGTTGTGTGTGGTCAGCGATGCGCGGAGCATATCGCTCGTCGTCGAAAAGATCGCGTCCCCGCCCCTGCCCATAAAGACATCCCGGTGCGAGACTGGGAGCCTTACCCTGGAGTGGATAAGATCGAAAGGACTTGGCTGGAGCAGGATTGGTCGACGCTGCGCCAGATCATGTGGAACTACGTTGGGCCCGTGCGTAGTCAGCGTCTGCTACAACGGGCCATCCATGATTTGAGGTATTTATCGAGTCGTATCGACGATTTTTATCATAGCTACGCTATTGAACGGTCGATTATTGAATTGCGGAATGCCGTATCGGTTGGGTTGTCTATTGCCCGTTCCGCATACATGCGTCGGGAGAGTTATGGATGCCACTATCGGAGCGATTTCCCCCCACCGGGGGACTCACATCGGTCATCGTCGACCCCTCCGCACCAGAATGGCGCGGAGGCCCCTTAGAGAATCCGACATGGTCTGAACGAGTGCGCTATCGCATGGGATCGTTCGAAAAGACCCCCGTGCAGCATCATATGCAGGCGCGGTTGCTACGCAAGGTACACCGGTTGCGCCCGTGCCCGATAGACCTTCGCACCGGTGCCCTTCATAGAGGTTTTGCGCGCGACATCTATCAGCTAGGGCGGTGCTTTCATCCGCTATCTCGGGATGGTGCCATTTTTGACAGCGACGAGCATCGGCGTTCTTTAGCCGAGTTTTGGTTGCACCATGCCCAGAGCGATGTCCAAAGACGCTTTCAACGTCGCCTCACGTCCTCTCAATTACAACAACAGTTACGAGGATGTTCCGCATCGGACTTCTGTCATGAAGTGGCATATACTCTGCGTTCGTACTTTCACAGCTTTTCGCCCGAACATATCGACCGCATGCTCTATTACTGGCTAGCCATTGAGGAGTTGCTGGCCCTTATTACGTATGACTGGTCCTCGCTATTGGGTATCATGGTGCCCGCCATCTTGCAAGATGATGATTTGCCCGAGGAGTTGCCCCCCATGGCGCAAGTCGATATTGCTCGTCTATCGTCGCACTTTTTGGACTTCCATCACCTGATAGGGTCTATGCGGTGGATAAACGAATTACCGACCGCCATGGCTATCATTACGTCGTACTTACAGCGACCGGCGGTGGATATACAAGTGCTCACCCATGTCCAGAGCATTCTCTCGGCGATGAGCCGACAACAGGTCTTCGCCTATGTACTCCGCTACATAGAAGCGCGCCATCAGATGACCCACGGGAGTCGATATATGCCAACGGGGGTATCTCCGCGAGGGTTTGGGCTCGCTCCATCACAGGATACCCACTTCCAAGAAGATGACCATCTGTCATCGTTGGCCGTATCGTCGGTGCGACAACACTTTTCTCGCATATACAGTCGTACCCACGAATATATAATCCAGGTTATGAATACCTGCTATCAAGAGCATATTCATCGCTACTTTCCTCCCCATAATCCCTCCCTCACGAGCGGAAATACCAACCCACATACGCTTCATGAGCCGGATATGGTGCCTTCCCTGGACGAAGAATATCCCCTGCCATTCCTGTATCAGGGGCCGCTGCACGCGGTCTATCAGGAGTTTACCGGCGCCCCCGGTGGGGCTCCTCCCCCGTTGATCGAAGACATCGAATTCTCAATCCGGAAAACAGAAATAGAATCCATTGTACATAAGTCCTGTGACGATATTCCGAAAAGGATAAAGCGAGTATTAGATGCTGTGAATGCGACCAGCTTGCGCCGGACTACCAACCCATCGCTCCGGCACAAAAAGACCATATGGGCCAAAACGGAATCCGAAGCCATATTTTGTGATATTCAAACGATGGGGGCGCAGCTATTGGCGCACGAATCGCTCTTTTACCAGGCGGCAGTCACACGAATAGCGGCTTTGCACGGCTTCGCACAATTCATGGTACAAACACCGTCTCCTTCCATGGGAGCGGCTAGCCCACTACTCCCCCTTAATAAGCCCTAGGGTAGCGCATGCATTACATGTCCCGTTTTTTATTACGAGAGCTCTGCCCTGTCGACTCCCGCGCCAAGGGGGCTTCCCCTAGGGTCTGTGTTCATTAAACCCGGGACGTGTTTTGGGGGGCTCTGCCCCCGTGCCCCCCGCTGGGTGCGGGTCTTGCCAGACAGGCGTAAGAGGCGGTTCGAGAATCCGACCTAGGGTCTGTGTTCATTAAACCCGGGACGTGTTTTGGGGGGTTCTGCCCCCGTATCCCCCGCTGGGTGCGGCATTTTCCGCCCCCAGACCCCCTAAAACCCTCAAAGAGGGATTTTAAGATTGCTTGGGCAAGCCCCTGTTTTTAGGTATAGCACACATCAAAACCGTAAAAACCATTCTATGCCCGCACGGCAGTGCCGCTGGGGATCCAAGGGGGTGCGCAGCCCCCTTGGTGGGGGTGTGGGGGCGAAGCCCTCACATATAAAAGCGTTCGCATTTAATGAACACAGACCCTAAAGCCCGCCCCCTAAGTCGGCAGTACCCCCCTAAAACCCTCAAAGAGGGATTTTAAGATTGCTTGGGCAAGCCCCTGTTTTTAGGTATAGCACATATCAAAACCGTAAAAACCATTCTATGCCCGCCCCCCCCTAAGCCGGCAGTGCCTCCGAGAGGGGAGTCGACCGGGGAGACGCGGGCTTAGGGCTTAGGGCTTAGGGCTTAGGGCTTAGGGCGGCGTCTCCCCTCAGAAAAAGAAATTAATGAACACAGACCCTAGCAACCACGGTGGTCTTCTTGAGAAAGTGCGACGGGTTTGTGTTTCTCATCGGGTATAAAAGGCCCATTGGGCGGGAGGGATCGCCGATACCCGTATCGCCATTAGAGTGTCTATCATGTTCAGATCCTGATCATGGGCGGGAGGCCCTACGACGTGGGCTCCCATACGAATATACCCTTTCACGAGCGACGGGATAGCTTTACGGATGTGCGTCGTCTCGGTGGTGGTGGCGGGATCTTCTGGAACAGCGTATTCCGTGTGTGGTGTCCCCCGGAAAACGTCGGAGGGACCGCAGCGGTCCAACAGGTATTGGTATATGCTCCGGGGGGGGATCCGCGGTTGGTGGGTTACACTGGCACACCCGAGCAGGTGGCGAATGCCGTGTTTGATGATAAGCGTTCCAATCCCTCTCCAGAGTAGCCGCATAATGCGCCCGTCGCGGCGGTGATCCGGGGCGATCGCCAAACGGCCCAGCTCCATCGTCTGCTTCCGTACATCTGCGTCGGCATCCAGTGAAAATTCGCTCTCGCTATAAAAGCCGCCATGATCCTGCGCATCTGAGCCGAGTATGCAACGATACGTTCCGAGCACCTGGTCATGGGGATCTACTACTACTACGTGTTGGGCGTAAGTATCATATCTATCGATGTCCATGTTCTCGCCATCGCCCACGGCCAGTCCCCGGGCTTCGTAGAACGATTGGTATCGCAGGCGGATAGCCGCATGTATTAGTTTGGGGTCATCGGTTACCCGTACGCGTAAATCCTCGTTCATGCTGCATCTCCTCCCTCCCTCACGAGCGGGTTAAGACTTCCATACCATGTTTGGTTATTAGCATGGTGTGTTCCACATGAGATCCCAGCGTTTTGTCTTTAGTCTCTACGTTCCAGCCGTTAGCTCCTACGATCACATCCGGCGATCCGATAGACAGCATAGGTTCTACCGCGATCACCATGTTCTCCCGAAACCGGGGACCAGGGCTTCGGGTGCGGTAGTTTGGGATTTGGGGGGGTTCCCATACCGAATCACCGACACCGTGCCCGCAGTAATCTCGAATAATGCCGTATGAATACGGGCGTACCACGTCCTCCACAATTCGGCCTACGTCCGAAACGCGCATCCCCGGCACCAGCTGCTTGATAACTTCCTGTAAAGATTGCTCGGTGACGTCCAAAACCTGCTGCGCTGCGACGGATACTTCTCCCACTGGAACAGTCACCGCGTGGTCGCTGTACGCACCATCGTACTCGATACCGATATCCAGACCGACTATGTCGCCCCGGCTCAAAAGGACGGTCGTCGGGCATGCCGTGGATAATACAGTGATTTACCGATATGCAGGTGGCATACGGGTAGCCATGCCAGTTGAGGAACGAAGGGCGTCCGCCGGCTTTCGTAATCCAGTCGTGGCAAAAACGGTCCACGTCACGAGGAATGGCCCCAGGGACCACTTTCGACACCGCTTCGTTCATCAGATTTGCCAGGATCCCACACGAACGACGAATCTGATCAATTTTGCGTTCCGATTTTATAGAGATCCTTTGCTGTACACCCATGACCACACCTTTCCATGCGCGATGACAGACGCCGTCATCATCAAAAAACTAACGAAGAGCGTCGACCGGCCATATCTGCTGACCCGTTGGGGTCAGGTGATATTCCATAAAATGCGACTCCATAAAATGGACGATATGACCGAGAACCTCCGCTACATGCGACGATTCGTTGGACAGAGTGCATACTCCAATACGCACCAACGGGCGCCGCAACGAAGGACTAAGATCCGCCACACTAACGTGAAATTTTGCGCGCACCTTCTGAATACACGATTGTACAACCCGTCGTCGTGACTTCAAATCATGGGCCACCGGACCAATGTCCATCTCAACAAGCTGCCACCCCACATACATAATCTATCCCTAGGGTAGCGCATTCATTAATCTGGAGCTAGGTTTTTTAGGGCTCTGCCCCAAACCCCGCTGGGTGCGGGGCTTGCCAGACGGGCACCCAGCGACGGTTCGAGAATCCGACCTAAAGCCCGTACGGCAGTACCCCCTAAAACCCTCAAAGAGGGATTTTAAGATTGCTTGGGCAAGATCTTTCTTTCTGGACATAGAACGTGCCAGAATGATAAAATCGACTCTATGCCCGCACGGCAGTGCCTCCGAGAGGGGAGTCTGAGGGGAGACGCGGAGCGGCGTCCCCCCTCAGAAAAAGAAATTAATGAACACAGACCCTAGGGTAGCGCATTCATTAATCTGGAGCTAGGGTTTTTAGGGCTCTGCCCCAAACCCCGCTGGGTGCGGGGCTTGCCAGACGGGCACCCAGCGACGGTTCGAGAATCCGACCTAAAGCCCGTCTGGCAAGACCGCGATCCTAATCCGTTTCGGAATGATGAGATGTTGGTATGCCGTCGGTTTCCCGCCACGAGATGGCGCGGCGGTAGGCGACAATACGTTGGGCGAGCACCGCGCTGGATTCCTGGATAATAAATGTTTTCCCGGATGTCATGCGGACCGTGGTGTCGGGGTTTTGTTCGACGACTTCTATGAGATGGGGATTGATATGAAACGTGGTATGGTTTAACCGGGTTACTTCGATCATGATGCCTCTTTCCCCCTTCTAGAGATTCTTAAAGTCGGCTGGGTATACGGTATGTTCTCCTAGTGCGGGCATGCTATTGCGGAGCGCTTGGTAATCCCCTACGATAATGCGGGTCATGGCGGCGGGATCGATATACGATTTCCCGGCGTTATGGGCTTCTGAGAGGGATACGGCCGCGATGTGTTTGGGGTAATTCCGGTAGTAGTCGTCGCCCCGGTCGTAAAGTTTCTGCCGCATTATGAGGCTGAGGACGAACCCGGGGTCGGAGAATCCGGTAGCAAAAAGCTTCCGCT